CCTCCTCGCATATACCTTTTCTACACAAAAAGTGTCTTAGAAAATTTAAATCAATATATTGTTTTCTGTGAATGAGTGAGTAAGATGATTTTCACATAATTTTGAAGCAAAAATTCTAGACTTCAAGATCCAGTTCTCAAAAGTCTTGTGATCAAATGTTCTGTATGTGTTTTATGGCCTTATTTCAGTGACTTTACAATTTTAGTTTTTCACTAAGCACGCATAAACGTTGTTTTCTCAAAAACACAATCACGTACATACATGCTGCCCACATATTATTGTAGCCCAGTTTGTGCTGATTACAGTGTTATTAAACTTTAGACATTCAAATGTTTGTAAGCAACTGAAAAAAGCACAAATGTCAGGGCATGTTAAAACTTTTCCAGGCCCCAAAACACCCTCGGACCTCAGAGGGTTAAGCCCATACAACCTCGGGCGCAAACCAATCATGACTCGTATTTATCATTTCTCAATACGAATGGACTGCCATAATTACTATGAAAACAGAAAGAAATAGTTCTTAGTTGTATTATAGTCAAATTCACAATTTTTTTCAAGGAAATAAATAAATAAATTGGACTTACCGTGTTGATTCATAATAATTCCAGAAATAGACGTGAGAATATCCAGAAGATCCTGAAATGAACTGTCCTGAAACTAACTGATCTCTCCTGAAAACACGTGGGTTTTAAGGTCTTTTTTATTACTCCCTGGGGAGACCATATGGTAAATTCATCAGAGCAAAAAGAGCTTTACATTATTTGTATAGCTTTTGAAATATTTAAATGTAACACGCTATGAATAGTAATTTTAGGATAGAATAAGTATATATCTTGTTTTAATATGTTAATATATTGTTTTAATATTGCGAAGTGAATAAACAGATTTAAGAATGTAATTTTTCGTGAGAGTTGTCGTTTTAAGTCTCCCCAAAAGAGGGCGCCCGTACTCTATGATAAACGCATCATCCCTGCATCCTCTGCTGCGAAAATAAGGCATTGGGCGTTCACTAGAAATCACGGATGGATGTATGTATGATTAGTAATTCTGTTTTACAGCAACTTTGTTCACAAAATAGAAACTTTTTTTCACAGATACATAAACCAGAAAAATTTGATAATTGTCTTTATGTTTGAAGCATGATTGGTGAATAACATTGCATGATGTTTTAAATAAAGAAATTTAATATAACGTTTAAACATAGGAACTGTAAAGTTATCTTGTGCATAAAATATATACAACTGAACTAGACAGTTTGATTATTAAGGTTAAATAGATGTGATTTTGACCCCCAGATCTTCCGTTCTGTCTCTGCCTGCGTCTAAATGTAAGATTACTTTCACACTGGGTAAACATAACATTCTGTTTACATAAACAGTGCCTGAAAGGATGTGAAAATAGCTTAGGAACGTGTAGATTACAACCGTGACAGAAGACAATATTTATGTCGTCGCGATTAAATCCAAAGCATATGTAAAGAGGCCTCGTTGTTATTTAAACAAGCTTCTTAAAACAAAGCTTAACATTACGTCTGTAAAGATAGCTACATGAGACTGTCTGTAAACATTCCAGCAATGTTCTCCGTCACAATTTTCTGCAAGTTGGAATAGGAAAGATAGACAGTCATGATCCTTGTAGCCAAAACACTGTGTACCCAAAACACTGTGAAATAAAACACGTCTAGGTAATATTTAACACGCGTGAATAAATGTAATATTAACTGAATAATTAAAACATTTCTAAAACCCGATCGGCATGAGGTTCGAATCGAGACTGCAAAATAATGGCTAGATCCTTGCCATACCGTCACAGTCCACTGAGCAGCCGTCCTTCTAGGATTTTGATAGACTTAAAGGAGGTACAAATCTTAAACATATCGTTTGAGACGCTACTGAATTAACGTGATGGCGTATTCTGGTTAACGCTTCCTGTAAAATGTGAGGGATTTTCCCCATTTCTTACTTCAGTCTGTGTGCATTGAATTTATTTAATACACGAGTTTCACAATTTGAGTTGAATTACTGAAATAAATGAACTTTTCCACGACATTCTAATTTATTGAGATGCACCTGTATTATGATATGTTCTCATGATCTGTTAGAATTGTCTACTTCTTATTGACCTTAAAACCAATATCTTTCTCACATCTCCCATAGAGAGAGAGAGAGAGAGAGAGAGAGAGCAAAAATGTCTTGCCTTGGAATGCAACCGGACACTCAGACCCCAGATGAGGCAAACCTCATTTGCCTCAAACAGACCATTAAAATCTTCAAAACATTTCTAAAGTCTTCATTTATAACCTGTCACCGCTCGGACACGGACAAACATCATATGTCATCCCCGGAGGTCATAGGTTGACGTCGGAATTTCACATATGCCGTTTTTCACATCTGGATAGGTCACGGGGTCAACACAACGTGGGTGGTCGCCATGGGGGTGGGGCACGTGGGGAAGGGGAAAGGTCAAAAGGTCAAATCCATCAATCAAGTTGACATAAGGGCTGCCCTATCACTACTAAAGACTGTTATCATTTCTCCGTTTGACCATACTGACTAGCATGTTCCGCAGAACTCTGAATGACTTCAGTTTTCCTATGGCCCTTTCCACATGGATTCTCACTCGTGACATTTTTCTAGAGTGTGTCACCTCTAATCCTGTCAATTGTTTTCTTCCCTTTGTAGATGCTGGTACATGAAGACGGACACATTTGTTGGCAAAATATTCAGGAAAATTGAAGCCTCTATCAGCCATTACATGGTCTCCTTGTTCAAGAAGGTCAATCAACCCAGAATTTTTTGTTATAACTTTGTCGCTAGCACGACCACCCCAGACTTTTGATAAAAATGTAATAGCTCCTGTTGGACTAATACCAACAAGGAACTTCACAGTATTATGTGATTTGTAGTGGGAGTATGTGATTGCTCGTGCTTGCAAACTAGTTGGCCTCTCAGTGAACACTTCAGTACAGTCTATTATACATCTAACTTTTTGGAAACCTGTAGTCTTGAAGAGGGTGGGGAGATTTCTTCTGATTTCTTTTCTGGATGGCCACCGGACAAGGCATTGTAATTCTTTAGCCATCACATCGAGCCATTCATGAAAGATGTTTGAGACAGTTCCACAACTCACTTTGAAGCGAAAAGCTAGGTCTTGATGAGTTAAGCCTAGACGAAGCTTCATCAGGACCACAAGAAACTGCTCGGGAAGGGTAAGTATGGTTGATGATGCATTCCATATTGATGTCAGGTAAGTGAGGAGGGTGAAAAACACAGAAATAGATGGTAGACCAGTGTAAAAATGAGTGTGCTTGTCATCATTTAAAATAAAATCGGACAGACTGACAAACATATGATCTTGTAGTTGTTTTTCTTGAGATTCCAGTTTCTTCTCCAGTGAAGCCATTTTTCTTTTTAATTCAATGTTTTCATTCTGTAGCTGGTCAATGTCTGCCATTGACAGATCTGTACCCACAGCAGTGCATCCTTCTTCAGGGTCAGCCTGTGTGACCTCTAAGGAAGGTGAATCCATGGGCTCAACCACAGATGATCTCCTCTGACTCCTCTGGTATCACTCCAACTTCTGTGAACCATCAGTGGTGTTTTTGTGTGCGAATATTTATGGAACATAATCAGGATGGCATGGGTACACTGATGGTGCACCTAAAATAAAACAAGTGACCGGAACAGTTAGTGTCGACAGTATTGCACCTTGCTGAGCAGCATCATACATCCTTTGCATAATCCATACATTTTCTGGTTACATGCACATTTTTGTGTAAAAAATTCATTCTATGATATTGCTTAAAAATGATTAAAACATTAGTAGCCTACTATTACAATGAAATTAGATCAAAGTCAAATTTATTTGTAGCACTTTTCACAATGCACATTGTTACAAAGCAGCTTTACAGATAAAATGTATCGGTGATAATGTAGTAAATTCGTCAGTGAAAATGTAGTAAAAGTACTTTAGTAATTCATTTAAAGCTTCATTAGAAAAGCTATGCGTTGTTGTATTTGTTATGTCCCCAGGGAGCAAGCCAAAGGCGACTGTTAAATACTGTGTTATAGTTCAAATCGTAGCTAAAGCGAATCAACTACTACATTGAGGTAACGTTAATGTGTAAAATTAATGTATACAATGTTATCTATGT